ACATTAAAGTGGCATTTGGCCACAACAGACCCTCAGCCCAGCACCTCTGGGATTGCTAGTGTTACTTCCTAAAGGCAACTCCACAAGAGGAAATTATAATTTTCCATGCCCTTTGTTGATGACGATAGTGAAAGTGATATAAGTGACGATGATGAAATCGATTGTATGCCGATAGACGATTTGTCGAGTGAAAGTTATTATCATTATTCCCCAGTGAGATGTACTTTTAGGCATCATAACCTGTATTCAGGCAGTGTGCCATGTGCAGTCGGTGGCAAGGGTCGTATGAGGTAACTATCTGAAACCCCAGCCACTGATGGTGATAGTGATCTTGAAGGTGAATATGCTGGGATGGAGGAAGAGGGGGGTGGCATGGTGCCTGGACCTTGTAGTGCGGTGGGTGGGCAGACAAAGGACTGCCCAGCACCCTCTCAACCATGTGCTGCCTCCACTTCTGTCCCCCCCTCCTGTTCCCCCATGCCCCATGCCACAGGTCCACCCTGCACTATCTGACCGCGAATGGAACTGGACAGAAAGTACACCATTTGTGCCACATCCTTTCAATTTTGATGCCAGTGGAAGTAGCATCATGCTACACTGTCCCATCACAAATGAGTCTACAGAGTTAGACTATTTTCAACTATACTTTGACGAGCCGATAATGAACCTAATTGTTACCCAGACCAACATGTACTACCAGTATACAATGGACCACACAGATGTTTCAGAGTCTTCACGGCTGTGCAGGTGGAAAGATACAACTGGCTGAAATGCATTTATTCCTTGGCAATGTCATGCTAATGTCACACACATAAGAACAATAAAGCACACTACTGGTCCACAGACCACTTCATCAGTACTCCTGTCTTCTGTGACCTCCTTCCCTGCAACAGATTCACTCTGTTGCTACGAATGTTGCACTTCTCAGACAGGAATACGCCAAACCGAAATGACCTCTTATACAAAATCCAGGAATTGTTGATGTATCTGAAGCAAAAATTCAGTGCCTACTTTAATCCATTCAAGAACATTGTTGTCGATGAGTCCTTGGTTCTGCTCAAGGGATGACTGTCATTCAAACAATACATACCAAGCAAACGTAATCATTTTGGTATAAAACTCTTTGTGTGACTATGAGACTGGTCTTGTGTTGGACGTCATTATCTACACAGGGAAAAAAGCACTTGACGATATCAGGCGCACATTGGGCATTTCTGATGGTGTTGTTCGCAAGATGATGGAGCCATACCTTGGCAAGGGTCATACATTGTACACAGACAGCTGGTATACAAGCCCTATACTCACTGTTTTCCTGTGTGTGAACAATACTGATATATATATGGAGCAGTGAGAAGAAATAGAAAACACATGCCAAGGTTCATTGGAGGAAGTCTAGTGGAAGCATTTCATGCCAATGACATCATGGCACTGACATGACATGACAAATGGGACGTGATGTTGCTGTCAACCTTCCACAGAAATGAGATGGTACAAACAGACTGAGCAGGTTCAACAATGAACCTATTGTAAAGCCAGCTGCTGTCATCGACTATACAAACAATATACGACTAGTCGACAAGTGTGACATTATACGGTTTCTTGACTGTGTGCGTAGGAGTTGCAAGTGGTATATAAAAGTGTTTTTCCACCTCGTAGACATTGCAATGCTCAATGCGTGCCCAACCGAATAATCCTAAACTGTCACTGCCTAATACCACTACCATCTACTCCAAAAAGAAGTATTCCCAGAAAAGGCGTGTTATGTGTGCTTACACTAAACTGCGATCCCAAGTGCGAAAAGACACACGATACGTGTGCCAGCAATGTGGGGTGGCACTCTGTATGAATCCATGCTTCTTGAAGTACCATACAGTGGTGGACTTCTAGAAACATAAATGGGACTTGTAAATACCTTGTATATATATATGTGTACAACAGTATGTGACTGAACCAGGTGTACAAATTCATTTATCAGTGTGAACGTGTTTGTTTGTGACAGTATGATTACTAATTCAATACCAAACATTTGTGTCTCAACAAGAATTGGCTATGAAATCAAAAGATCTGCAACTAAACATTATTATCATAATATGAAAACAACAATAAATAGAAAAGAATTGAAAAAAAATGATAAATGTTTATTATTTCTGCAAGTGGCAGTGCTCCATGTTGCTGACACCTCATCATTTAACACCAACTTTGCGGGCTTATATCTCAGTAAGTACTGACCCTAAAATTTTTCTTTTATCCTATAACATTCATAAAAATGCACTCTTCAATTTAAAAAAAAAAAAAATATTTTTCAAAATATTCGGAGCGCTGTGCAGGTGAACGTAGATCTACGTTTGGACAGTTAAGGATTAAAAAAAAATCCAATATACTTATTGAAAAAAATCATCTATAAGAGGACTCACACAGTTCAAACCCATTTTGTTCAAGGGTCACCTATACAATCATAAGTAGAATAAGAAAAGTAGCTAATGACAAAAGATCAGTTATGAAAGCAATACAGTTGGGTCCTGCTTTACGGCGTTTCACCTTATGGCGTTGCGCTAATACTACTGTGATTTCAAATTATGACCAAAACTTACTATAAGGCGAGTGTTCTTTCTAATATGGCGTGCCCCACCTGGTTTGTTTACATTCTCCGTGAGCACGTCTATTATGTCTAAATTTTCCAAAATTTCAAGCGTTTTAAAGTTATTGCATATTTTACATTTACTCTGATAATTATACTTATGTGTACCTGTACTTAAATATACTTACACACTGTGCCACATAATAATCTCTTGGGCGCATTAAATCTCATATATTACGTTAATATGGACATTTCCATTAATCAGTCTGATATTTTTTTCAAAATTATGTAATAAACATGTTACTTAACATAAACATGATACATACATCCACAGTATAAAAATTGACATAAATATGAGATTTGTTTACCAAGCAGTTTGTAGAAGTGTTGGAAGAATTATGTTTTCTCTAGTCAAACACCAGTTACTAAACTGTAGAAAAATATTCCTTTCATATGCCTTCACTTTATCAATAGCTATTCATGACCCTTGTGGGTTTAGCACTTCTTTTTCATTATGATAATAATAATATCATTCATTCTAAAAATGGTGTGTTGCATGAGAATGGGAGTGTTGCTGTTTATTTATTGTGTAATAACTTGTCAGAGCCTCATTCCTTCTAAAAATGATGTTAGATGAGAATGAAAGTGTTGGTCTTTATTTATTCTACTGTACCACTGTGGAAACAACTTGTACACAATATAAGGTGTTTGTATGAACATGTATGAACCATAACCAGACGCTTCGTCCGTTTGTTTACACAGTACTCTGCGTGGGTGGGGTGGCCAGGAGGGCTACCATACCTACCCACACCTGACTTCTTACAATAAATACTAATCACCTTTTGCCCTACATTAAGACTACAAATATTTTGAGGTAAATAATGAGTATACTGTGTGTGCATTTTACTTTTTTATTGTTTTTTTAATGCCTAGTTCTATTGTTAACTTAATATATGTTAGTGTAAGCTTTTTATCTGGCATTTATATGCATTTATAAGTGGAAAAATATGGCATTCTGCTTTCTGGCGATGTCTGCTTTGCGGTGGTAGTCTGGAACCTAACTTGCCGTTTAAGTGGGGCCCTACTGTACATATTATTTAAACTGGTTCAATGATCTTCAGTTAAATAGAGTGATTGAATAGAGATGGTGAAGATACAGCAAGTTGCTTAGATTACAATACAAATAAAATTATATATGGGAGAATAGGGACAATTTGGATGAAAGCTGGTTTTGTATGACATGGCATATGCTGTCTGGATTACATTAAGATGAGGTGCTTTTCAGCAATAGCTCTGAATTGGCTGGCAGACAGGGGTCCTTTTGATGCTTCAGGCAGGGAGCTCCAGATCTTAGTGGCTTTTATGAGCACTGAGTTTTTACACAGGTTGAATTGGATGCGGGAGATGTCAATGAGATTTTTGTCTTGTGTTATGCCTGTGTGTCCTGTTGTAACTATTAAAGAAGAGTTTCTGAGAAAGGTTGATATTGGAACTGATTGTCCTATATATATATATATATATATATATATATATATATAATATATATATATATATAGTAGGTACAGTAGTACGAGTGCATATTTTGTATATTAAGTAAGTTTAAGTTTTTGAAGAGTGGGGAAGTATCCTGTCTGGCACTTGACTGGGTAATTGCCCGTACAGCAACTTTTTGTTGTGCTGTTATTGATTTTAGGTGATTTGATGTAGTATATCCTCAGGCATAAATACCATAGGTAAGGTAAGATAGATTACAGACTAGTACATTGTAGTGCTGTTTGCTGTACAAAGTAAGGTATCTTGGAGTGGATGCCTACTGTTTTGGGGACCTTGGTAGAATGTCTCTGGTAAAAAATGTCACAAAACATGGGATTCCAAGTTATAAAGAATGTCTAGACAAACTAGATTGGAGACTTTTTTATCATTATATTAAATGGAGCTTAAACAGCAAATCAATCACTCAAAATAATATACATAAAGAGGTTTACATTAAGTTTAGTTTATCAGTATTTTGTCAACAAACTAGAATCAGGCTCATTATGTCTAAGTTTATTGACATTATCAGTTACATTTTTTATAGTATAGAGGGAGAGTTTTGATTAAATAAACAGACACTTTAGGCATTGCCAAGCTACATGCCTTGTACAAGTTGAGAAAATCAACCAAAGTTCTTGTCACTGATACTCTTGGGTAGAGAGAAACAAAATATAGCATAGGTTGTGGCATACAAGAGGAGTGGGGGGGAAAAAAAGAGAAGAAAAAATTAAGCATATGTGAGGTTTCGACCTGAATCTCTTCATAAATGTTACCTTGCTCACACACTGACAGTCAAATCCCTAAAACTACTAATCTCCTTCAACCTTATTCACCTGATGGATGCTAAAGATAAAATGAACTTTCAAGACATTACCTTTGAATTTATAATTTTTACATTGTTCTGGGTGAGTGAGTTTCCATAAGGTTGGGATGCTTCTACGTGGATAGTGAAGTCTCCTATAGTCCACATGTCTCCTACGTATGGTATTACATCAGGGAATTCCTCCTAAATTGTAAAGGGGTTTAGATTATTTATTACAAAATCAAAAGGATGCAAATATATATTGTTAATAACCAAATTAAACAAACTAAAAATACAGTACTGTACCTTGCTATGTTCTTCAAAATGATTTAAGAATACTATAACAGAGCAACCCTTCTCCACCACTAGTCTCCAGAATTTGGAGAGTGTTGAAGACATGGGATGTTCTGTAACTAATAGTATCTCTTTGTTGATGAAGCCTGCAATCTTAATAGCATTAATATACTGGGTCTCTTGCGCTCCATGCTCCATCTGTAGGTATAACCGCTGGGAGTCTGCAGGTAATACTGAAATGTTACGATTCATTGCTTGAAAGCTTGGATTTGATGAACTTTTGTAAGTGAGTGGGGATGGCAAAGCTTTTGCTTTCCTGAACTGAGCCATGCTGTCTTTTAGATAACTGTCTTTAAAATTCTGAAGATGTTCTGCAGATACAATGGTTTCCTCACCAAAGAGAACCTCTTCCATGATCTCTAGACTCAGGTTGTACTGTGCTTGATTTTCAACTAGCCTAGCTCGGCAGGCCCTAAGGTGTCTGAGTACTTCAATAGGATCAAAACTTCCTTTGAGTGTAAGCATTTCACACATGAGAAGGACCTGAAGAACTGTACCTGTTCGACCAATCCCTGCTGAACAATGGACAACTGTGCCACCTGTTAAGAGAAATCTAAATTAACTGTATTTCAATTGGAAAACAGCAGCTATACATCATTATAGTTATACATATATGAGATCTTAAATTAGTATGGTATTAGCATTTATACATGATGTACAGTTGACTGCCAACATTATCTGGCTGTCTTGCTTGATCCAGCACCTAAACAGATGATTAAAAAAAAAGAATGTACAAAACTAAATGACCTGACCATAAAAATTGTGGTCATCCGATGTACTTAATTTAAAAAATTTAGCGCACTTTTCCTAAGTGGCTGGATAACTGATTATATAGACTATGCTTCAATAACTGTCTTCCACCAAGACAGGGTGATCCCTCCCCGCTAAAAAAAAAAAAAAAAAAAAAAAAAAAAAACACCATTATTCATTCAATTTCTGTCTTCCCAGAAACATGCTGATATCACAGTTCAGATGGCCCTCTCAATAACTACATCTTCAGCCCTCCTTCAGAGCACAGGCACTCTACATCCCACCTCAAGGACTGAAGTCTGGCTAACTGTATTAATCACTTTTCACTCATTCCAATCTAAGGTGCACTTAGAACTCACAGAAGTATGTTGGACTTTCAAACCTCTAGCACTCAGGGTCTCAATAATCAGGGACATGTCATGATTACTTATTCTTTATCAGCACTGTATGATTCTTGTGGGTTTACAGCTTAATTTTGATTATGATGATGATGATAATAATAATAATAATAATAATCTTTAGCAGAGTATATTCAATTCAATTCAAGTTTATTCTCTATAAGGGTTACAATGTGGGGTTTACAGATTTTGGGTATTGTGTGGTTTACATGTTATAAGATACTAATTACAGAGGGGGCCACTAGGACACCTAGCATGGCTAGGCATTTCGAGCAGACTTAGATTAATTCTTAACATTAAATCCTTACAGATTATTGTATTAAGGCTAAGTGACTACATCATAATTTGTGAGTTTAGCAATGTGAATACTTTTGTTTTGGCACAATACAAAGTGTCTATATTGGAGTATCATAGGCAAACTTATGACTAGTTAGGATTTATTATTTTAAGATTAAGATTAGTATTTCTGGGTTTATAGTCAGTGGGTGAGTGAGTGTAATTGTGAACCACCAGGTGGTTATCATGTAGTTAGTTGTCAGGGTGGATCAGGGAGATGAGATGTTTTCTAACTGTAGTTTTGAAAGTGATGAATGTGTCTGCAGTTCTAGAGTTTTCAGGTAGGGTGTTCCAGATTTTAGGTCCTTTGAAATACATTGAATTTTTGTAAAGGTTTAGTCGAACAAGGGCAATGTCTTAGAGATGTGTGTCTGGTGTTATGCCTGTGGATCCTGTCACAACTATCAAGAAAGCATTTTAGGTCAGGGTTAATATTGGAATTTAAGGTCCTGTAGATATAGATTGCACAGTAGTAAGTGTGGATGTTCTGAACAGGGAGTAAGTTTAGATCTATGAAGAGTGGGGGGGATGGGGTTTTTTGCCAGGGATGGGATTTAGTGATTATACTTACTGCGGCTTTTTGTTGGGTTATTATTGGCTTTAGGTGTGTTGCTGCAGTTGAACCCCAAGCACAGATAGCATAGGTGATCTATGGATATATAAGTGAATGGTATAGTGTGAGAAGGGCAGTTTGCAGCACGTAGTATCATATCTTGGAGAGGATCCCCACCGTTTTGGATACTTTTTTTATGTGTTGGATATGGGTGCTGAAATTTAGGTTGTTGTCGAGGTATAGGCCAAGGAATTTGCCCTCATTATGTCTGGCAATTACAGTGTTGTCGATCTTAATGTTAAGTTGCGCAACACCTGCTCTGCTACCAAACATAATATAGTAGGTTTTGCCAGTGTTAAGTGTAAGTTTATTGGCTGTCATCCAAGTCGATATTTTGAGCAGCTCCTCGTTAACAATGGTGTTGAGGGTGGCAAGATTAGGGTGAGAGATGACATAAGTCGTGTCGTCAGCAAAGAGAAGGGTTTCAGGTGTTGGGATATGTTTGGAAGATCATTGATGTAAATGAGGAAGAGCAGGGGTCCAAGGACACTTCCCTGTGGAACTCCAGTATCAAGTGGCCGTATTGATGAAGCTGTGTCTTTAATGGTGACATACTGATACCTATTAGAAAGGTAGGATTTAAAATATGAAAGCACATGGCCTTATACCATAGTGGTCAAGTTTGTGGAGTATGTACTGTATAATATTTTTTCAAGACCCTGTATAGGATACTCCAGGATGCAGCATACCTTTATAATGACTACGTTGGAAGTGTCTGATCATCTGGGCCAAGGAGCCAGCTTCATTTGGTATACCATGGTCTGGCCAGCTAGTATAATGGTAGTGTTGTACAGTGTGGTTGTGACCATCCTTTGAAACCTACGAAAATTGAAAATATAAATGCAACATTCAAGGAAAAACTGAGGAAAAAAAAACAGCTCTTCATGATACTGATAAGAATGTATTATAATCCATTATCACTGGCTTTGTGAAAGTTAAGACACATGTGCAACATCTGGATATCTTTATTGAAGATGTTTCGCCATCCAGTGGCTTTATCAATACAGATTCTAGGACATAATTAGAAGACAGTAGAACTATATACAAAAGATGAGGTAATCAGTCCCTCAGCCTTGGAGTTAGTGTTCACAGCATCGTGGTGGAGGAGAATCTGGAGCAAAGGCAAGAACACTGGTGGTTATATAGGCGTCACTGGATAAGGACATGTAGCAGACAAGGGCAGTCACTGGTTGGGAGGATTTCCCAGTGGAAGTAGGTCCTACCCAAAGGGGTGGGTTAGTTGTAGCAGCTGTGGATGGCAAAACGTCTACAATAAAGATATCCAGATGTTGCACATGTGTCTTAACCCTTTGACTGTCGCAACCCCCAATCCTGAGGTGTCTCCTGGTGTCGCAAAATTTAAAAAAAAAATTATTTTTTCTTATGAAATGATAGAGAATCTTTTCTCGATTGTAATGACACCAAAAAAACGAAATTTGATGGAAAACTGACGGAATTATGCTCTCGCGAAGTTAGCGACCTCGGCGCTGTTTACAAATCGGCGATTTCGCCCACTTTGAGCCCTATTTTCTGCTAATTTCATTGTTCCAGTCGCCCAAACTCATAGCTATTTCTTTAGAACTCCATTTTTCTATCGATTGAGTACAAGAAACTGCCCATTTACCGATTTCAACTACCTAATAATGTGGTCAGAAATTTGCAATTTGGCCAATTTCACGAAAACTAAAAAACATGACAATTTCAAAATAAGGTCCAGAATGAACAATGCAGACATTCCTGGCTCTAAAATAACATTTTCTTTGCTCATCAGTCATGTCTCCAGGCCCCTCTGATATTACTCTTGCTTTATATTTTGAATTTTTATTCAAACAAAAATTAGAAGACTTACTATTATGCAGACTACTGCAATACTGTAATAATTGTATAAATAACATCAACTCATTCATGACTGCATATTAGAATGGCTAGTTGGACATTTATTGGACAATGGCATCATTTGTTTACTTTTGAACATTGGCAAAAATCAAACATTTCCCCTACTTTGAGCTCCATTTCTAGGTTCTTTTTATAGTAAAATCAATCAAAGTCACCTCTGTTTCTATAATATGTTTTCCATTCTATCAAATGAGACCAAGAAAACGAGAATACAACCATAAATACTATACGAAAATAGACCACAAAGTCGGCATTTTAATTAAAAAAATGGTCTGAGTTTTTTTTTTCTCACTATGCACTGCATGCTCCAGGATTTTTTTTATATGGTGCACACTGACCACACAGACCCATTCTCTCACATGTGGGCCTACCAGCTTTCTCCTGCTTGATTTGAAGCCGCTAGAATTTATGAGTATATATACGTCAAACACTGTACCTCGTAAGACGTATATATATGACCGCGACAGTCAAAGGGTTAACTTTCACATTGTCGGTATTTTATACCTTTCTTGCACATCACTGGCTTTGATTACCTTTTGTTGTTTTGTCTTTGCTTAATATATAATACAATCAAAAGCTATTATGTAAGATATCCAAAGCCTGAGAGATGTGACATCAATGCTTTTCTGTATGACTGTCACCAGTAATAAGAAATCTCGAAGTTGATTCCTGGAGAATGTACCTGATGAGAGATTGTTAAAATATACAGTGGACCCCCGCATAACGATCACCTCCGAATGCGACCAATTATGTAAGTGCGTTTGTACGTGTATGTTTGGGGGTCAGAAATGGACTAATCTACTTCACAATATTCCTTATGGGAACAAATTCGGTCAGTACTGGCACCTGAACATACTTCTGGAGTGAAAAAATATCGTTAACCGGGGGTCCACTGTATATTATGTAGATTACCAATGACTGGGTCAATAGCAACAAGCCAACACTGTGGAGGAGAAGCAAAATATTTTATCACTAATAATTTCAGTATCAGTACATGATATGGAACTTAATATTTATCTGTAAGAGTAAATTTTGTATAATGTAGCCATCATATTCCTTGATATTTCTTCTGTATTTGATATGTCTAACAATGTCATTCATTTAATTCATGTTAAATGCCTGCATAGCCAGCCAAAGCAGGGTAACCCAAAGAAGAAGAAATATTCACTATCATTCAATGAACTTCCATCTTTCCAGAAGTGTGCTGACATCACAATCAGGTCACTCCCCAACGGCAACATCCCCACCCCTCCTTCAGAGTGAAGGCACTGTCTCACCTCTAGGTTTTAAGTTTGCCCAACAGGTTTTTTTTCCTGAATCCCTTCATAACTGTTACTAATGCTCACACTCCAACAGCATGTCCAGTAAAATATCACTCGTCTCCGTTCACTCCTATTCGATATGCTGGATGCTGAAGCCCCTAATATTTATAGGCTTCTTTAGCCTCCTCCCTCCAATCATTCCTGGGAGGACCCATTACCCCTCCTACTTACCACTCCAAATATATACACCCTCTCCACCCTTTCTACATTCCCAAACCATTTCAACAACCTCTCCTCAGTCCTCTGAATTACTTTTGATAAGCCCCACATTGCCTTTTAATTTCTACACTCTGAATTTTCTACATGATAATCACACCACATATTGCTCTCACATGTGACATCTCTGATGTCTTTAGCCACCTCCTCTCTGCATCATTTAAAACTGTGCCTCATACCCATATAAAAATTGTTGGTACCATTCAACACACTTTTTTTTTTTTTTTTTTTAAACTGAGGCAAGGTGACCTGAAAAAGAAACACTTCCACCATCATTCACACACTATCACTTGTCTTGCCAGAGGCACACAGATACATAAATAGTTTACATAATATAACTGACCCTGATAACAGACTGAAGCATACTGTACCGACAGTACTTAAGACAGACCTGCACTGCTGTCACATTGAAGTGTGGAAGTTGTTCTCTTTTGATGACAGAAACAAAGTAGCCATCAAAGTCTAGTGTGGTTCCTGGCCTTAGGTACTCACCCACTTTACTCTGAAACAAGTAAATATGTAAATATGCTTTCCCACCTAGGGTGCACAGACTTTTTTTCAAGGACTTGATCCAGGAAACTGGAGTTACTCTCCCCTTGGTTTGAATATGACTGCCTATCTTTTTTTATGCAGTATAACCCCCATGGGTTTAGTGCTTTCCCCATGAACAGAATTAAGATGTTCATCGTATACATTCTGTTAATTAGTGTGAACAATGCTTATAAACGTTACTGTGCAAAAATTCAGAAGCAAACTATAAATTACATAAGTAAAGGTAATTTTTCTAATATAATTAGGTGACAGCTTTTCAGTACATTCCACTTGTACTCCTGTGTATATACTTACAATAAGAAATAATCTTTTCCACTGTTGCAACCCCAAAAGTAAGTCCCGTCAATGTTGCACCTTTTAAAAATTAATTATCTTCCAAAATGATAAACTTTTTCCAAAGGAACTGATACCAACAATGCAAAATTTACAGAATTGTGCAGTCATGAAGTAACAGGTAGGAAAGCACTGTATGTAACTACAATTTTACTTATTTTGAGGCCTATTTTACACCCAATTCCTTGCTATTTCACTAGCATACCTTCTGTTCTGCTGAATGCAAGAAACTCCCCATTCAACCATCAAACTACTATATAAAGCAGCCATAAGTCAGTAATTTGGCCAGTTTTACACAAAATTTGAAAAACAGAAGCCAAAATAAACACGAGGTATTGTAGACACTAAAGCAACTTTTCCTCTGTTCAATAATTACATCTCTAGACTCCTCTTATATAACAAGTGCCTTCCATTTTGAATCCATCATCATACCAAAGACTATAAAGTTTTAACCTATTTCATCACTAAAGAAATATAACAAAGAATGATAGGTCATGGTTTAGACCATCCCAATAATTGAAGCAGACCTAGTAAAAACCTGTAAAACAGACTGGGGATTGGGGTGAAGGGGATATTTCCTTTATTAATAGCTGAGCACTGTACTTATTATTATTATTATAATCAAGGGGGAAGCGCTAAACCCGGAGGATTATACAGCGCCTGGGGGGGGGGGATGTGGAAGGCATTCAGGCTTAATTCGGGGAACTGGAGCACAGATCCAATTCCCTAAATCAAGAGCCCCTCACCAACATCAAGGAACCTTCCTTGAGGGGAGCACTGTACTTAGAGGTCTACCCCAATTATACAATCTTTATAAACAGTCAAGCACTGTACTAAGAGGTCTACCCCAACTATGTAATCTTTATCAATAGTCAAGCACTGTACTAAGAGGTCTACCCCGATTACATAATCTTTATTAATAATCGAGCACTGTACTAAGAGGTATACTCCAATTACATATCAAAAAATACTGTGGCTCTGATTTTCCATCTTAACTCATTTTGATTTTTTTTTTTTTTGAAATAGAGACCAGGACATGCTTATAAGTAAGGATCTTATCAAAAATTTTATAGATTAGTACCTCACCTTGCCTTCTTCAACGAAGTTAGCGACCATAATAATGACACTAATGTTGTACTCCACAATCATCCTCCAGAAGTCAGCAATAGTAGAAACATTTTTATCCTTGGGACCTTGTGCAGCAATATAATGAACATCTCCATGTCCCTGTCAATTTTACCTTTAATGTATTGGATTTTCTCAAGTGATAAAAATATATTTCTAAATAAGGTATTGTAACTAAAAATATCATTAACTCTGTTATGTTATTGCTAAGCTTCTTGAAACAAATAATTTTTTTTTTTTAATTTTTCAATTATGTTCATTAAGTACCTTTTGTAGATGAGTGTTTTAGTGTGAATAATTTTAACTGAACAAATTTATTTAGTATAACCATTACAAAGTAGGAACATGACAGTTGAATATTACATCTTTAGCAATGTATTATGAACTTACAGAGACATGGTTGGCATTGATGTAGTCAGAATGAGGATCATCATTAATCAAAGAAAGCACAACCCTTGTGTCATCATCTGCAAGAATCAAGTCAGTCTAGTATTATATTCTACCACAATGGTCGTCTCCCACTAAGGTAGGGTCACCCCTTTCTCACCAAAAATAAGAAAACACATTCACTATTGTTTATTCAATAGCTGTCTTGCCAAACTGGTTAATTATTATGATAATAATAATATAGTACAATAACACTGTGCTTATTTTCAAAAACAGAATACAAAAAGTTGAAAGTTTTTGAAAAATCCAAAGGATGCATAGTATTTTGGGCAGACCTAAAATATGACAAACTATTTAACACAAAAAATTATGTAGATATGAAGCTGAATTAATAAAAAAATAAGAAGCTGCATTAGCTTTTATATTTACAATATTCTATGTGCAGCAGTGAAAATTTTAGTTTATTCTGAAAATTTAATACTATATATGTACTGTAGTTTTTTAAGTACAAGAGCATTAAAGTATATGGTTGGAATGATGCTAAAAATGTATGGTGTGAACAAGTGGTGCAGCAGTGAAGGATGGGGGTGGCTCAAGACCAGTGATCATGAAAGCACAATACTTTAAGAAATTTCTCATATATATTGAAAATCAAATGTTTATAAAGATGATTAATTTTTTTTTTTCAGCATCTGATTTTTCAATATGATGTACAGTGGAACCTTGGTTTTCGTACTCCCCAGTTTTCGTAGGGTTCGGTTTTCGATGACTTTTTCTAAATTTTGTCCCAGTTGTTTTCGTATATCACCTCGGTTTTCGTAGTTGAAAATGGTCTGTACCAAATGTGTCCGCCTGCCTGCCTGCGCCACTCGGCCACTCAAGCACTGAGTGACTCAGTCTGCCTTTGTTGAGTGAGCATCACCCTGTGCGTTCATCCGAAACATTTCATAATAATCCATTGTTTTTCTGTGCTTGTTTATTGAGTGTGACTGCTAAATAAGCCACCATGGGGCCAAAGAAAGTTCCGATTGCTAGCCCTTTGATAAAGAAGGCAAGAAACATGATAGAATTCAAAAAAGAAGTCATAGCTAATGACAAAGAACTCTGCTTGGAGAAAATTGTGGCCAGAATGTGTCCAAGAGAAGGATTTTGAAGGGTTTGAGACTGACCCTGACAACCCTACGCCTGTTGTGGAATTTACTGTGTCTTTGGGGAAGTCCATAGTGTTGGATGTGAGTGGCCAGGATGTGGAAGAGTTGGTGGACGACCACAGGGAAGAGCTAACCACTGAAGAGCTGCAACACCTTCAATTGGAACAGCAACAGACTGCAGCTGAAGAAATTACTTCAGAGGAGGAAGAGAGAGGGGAGAATATGCCTTCTTCAATGATTAAGGACATGTGTGCAAAGTGGAGTGAGATGCAAAGTTTTGTGAATAAATATCAGCCTAACAAAGCTGTTGCAAGCCATGTCTGCAACATGTTTAATTACAATGCCTTGTCCCATTTTAGGCAAATCTTAGAGACGCTAGAAACAGACCTCTGTGGACAAATTTTTTGCGCGATAGGGGTACAGTGACTCTCAAGCTGGTCCTAGTGCCAGTAAAAGACAAAGGGAAGTAACCCTGGATAGGGCCTGATACCTAAAGTTCTTATGGAAGGGGATATCCCTTGCAAACAATAACCTCTTCTCCCTCTCCCCTCCTCACTGTCTTCTATATGCCAACAAGAGTCTTGAATAAAGGTAAAGGTGATGTTAAATGTTCATTTATCCATTTCATTAGTCACTTATATTTATTTCTCATTGTTTTCTGTATGTAAAACTATAGTTATTCTCTATAAAATGTATTTTTTGTTAATATATTTGGGTGTCTGGAATGGATTAATTGGATTTACATTATTTCTTTTGGGAAATATTGCTTCAGTTTTCATACAGTTAGGTTTCTGTCAGACTTAATGGAACGAATTAATCACGAAAACCAAGGTTCCACTGTACTGGATACTAAAGCTACTGGAATCTTTAAATAAACATAAAGGAAATTAATAAATAAAGGGACACCTTGAGTACAGTACTACTCCTGCAGCCACAAATATGCAATGCTTTCAGGCTCAAGAAGTTTTCAGTACAGTGGACCCCCGCCTTATGATATTAATCCGTTCATGAGAGCTCATTGTAAGCCGAAATTATCGTTAGCCAAGTTAATTTTCCCCATAAGAAATAATGGAAATCAAATTAATCCGTTCCCGACACCCCAAAGTATGAAATTTTTTTTTTTACCACATGAAATATTTTTAATACACACAAACTGAAGAACACATGCACAATTACTACTCTACTAAGAATAGAATACATGACACTTACCTTTATTGAAGATCTTGTGATGATTGATGGGATGGGAAGAGGGGGGAGTGTGGAAGTTATTGTTTAGAAGGGGAATCCCCTTCCATTTGGACTTGAGGTAGCAAGTCCTTTTCCAGGGTTACTTCCCTTCTTCTTTTAATGCCGCTAGGACCAGTTTGAGAGTCACTGGACCTCTGTTGCACAACAAATCTGTCCATAGAGCTCTGTACCTCCTGTTCCTTCAAGACTTTCCTAAAATGGGCCATATTATTGTCATTGTACAGGTTGCCAACACGGCTTGCAGTAGCTGTGTCAGGGTGATTTTCATCCGTAAAGGTTTGCAGTTCAACCCACTTTGCACACATATCCTTAATCTCTTTTTTCAATTCCATACTAATTCTTGCCCTTTTTACCACAGGGATGGCACTAGAAGCTTTCTTGGGGTCCATGGTGACTTATTTTGCAGTTACAAGCACTAAAAACACTGGGATAATGTGAAATGTACCGAATGTATGCGTAGATGCGACCACACTGGCTGGCTTATAAACACTGGTGCTGATGCCACACGTGGGATGCGTCCCGGATGAATCACGTAAGGCGAGTTTTTTTATCGTGAGGCGAGGCAAAATTTTTGCTTTCAAATGCTTCGTATGGTGGATTTAACGTAATGCAATGCGTTCGTAAGGTGGGGGTCCACTGTATTTATAGTAACTTGACATTCAAATTAAGAATTTCTAGAAATACTAACATGGAAGATTGTTCTTGAAGCGGTTTTTGGGCTTGTTGACTGGGAGTAATGCAGCATCTGTACTCTTGTTGTAATTATCTGGTACACTCTGATGGAGAAAACATCATTGTTCCAATTAATAATACAATTATCACAAGTGTTGTTTACATTGTATTAAAGAAAAATAAAGATCATGATTATACACAAAGAAAATAATTTAGTGTGAAACAAACCATACCACGGGCGGGGATAGAACCCGCGATCAGAGAGTCTCAAAACTCCAGACTGTTGCGTTAGCCACTGGCTAACACGACGGTCTGGAGTTTTGAGACTCTCTGATAGCGGGTTCTATCCCCGCCCGTGGTATGGTTTGTTTGCAATCGTGTCATTATGATTTCATGAGTCAATTTAGTGTGTTAACAAGATACTGGAATACTATTATATGTAAATATTGCACAGTAATGCCACTAACAGAATTTGGAATTTTCAGTCATATATTATTTCCTGATGTGACTTTTTTGCATTATTATTATTATTTTTGCTACTTTTGTTATTATGACCAGTGCCATTTGGCACTACATGGCAAGAGTGACAGAGATGATAAAGAGATGAACAACAATATAATAAGGGAATTACACAGATAAGCAACTGCATGGATAAATGCCATGCAACAAATGACAAAGTGAAAAGAGGCCAAATGAAGCACACAGTGTAATAAAATATTCTGGATATCAGAGAAAGAGAGGTACTGTACCTAGGAATCATAATTGACAAAAGATTGTCATCTGGTACAGCAGACCATTATATTGCACAGTATTATTTGGCACATTTTGGTTATAGCACTATTGAAGAATTGCTACACAATTTTATATAACATTTCGTAAAATTAACTTAACACGATTCAGTTTGCGGGAGGGGAAAAAAATTGGAGCGTTGTCTGTGGGATACTTCTGGCTGTGGGTTAGACTAATGAGTCAACGGGGTAGTCCTACCACCATCCCTCGCCACCCTCCACCACCCTTGTCCCAGCCTTTGGTTCATATGCGTGTAGGACCATTCTCTGCTAGGAGCTAGCTGTGTTTAATTTTATGTTTGTGGATTGAGTTTAGATCTTTTAATTACCATATTGGGAAGATGGAAGGAATATTTTGAGGAATTGTTAAATGTTGATGAAGATAGGGAAGCTGTGATTTCGTGTATAGGGCAAGGAGGAATAACATCTTGTAGGAGTGAGGAAGAGCCAGTTGTGAGTGTGGGGGAAGTTCGTGAGGCAGTAGGTAAAATGAAAGGGGGTAAGGCAGCCGGGATTGATGGGATAAAGATAGAAATGTTAAAAGCAGGTGGGGATATAGTTTTGGAGTGGTTGGTGCAATTGTTTAATAAATGTATGGAAGAGGGTAAGGTACCTAGGGATTGGCAGAGAGCATGCATAGTTCCTTTGTATAAAGGCAAAGGGGATAAAAGAGAGTGCAAAAATTATAGGGGGATAGTCTGTTGAGTGTACCTGGTAAAGTGTATGGTAGAGTTATAATTGAAAGAATTAAGAGTAAGACGGAGAATAGGATAGCAGATGAACAAGGAGCTTTAGGAAAGGTAGGGGTGTGTGGACCAGGTGTTTACAGTGAAACATATAAGTGAACAGTATTTAGATAAGGCTAAAGAGGTCTTTGTGGCATTTATGGATTTGGAAAAGGCGTATGACAGGGTGGATAGGGGGGCAATGTGGCAGATGTTGCAAGTGTATGGTGTAGGAGGTAGGTTACTGAAAGCAGTGAAGAGTTTTTACGAGGATAGTGAGGCTCAAGTTAGAGTATGTAGGAAAGAGGGAATTTTTTCCCAGTAAAGTAGGCCTTAGACAAGGATGTGTGATGTCACCGTGGTTGTTTAATATATTTATAGATGGGGTTGTAAGAGAAGTAAATGCGAGGGTCTTGGCAAGAGGCGTGGAGTTAAAAGATAAGAATCACACACAAAGTGGAGTTGTCACAGCTGCTCTTTGCTGATGACACTGTGCTCTTGGGAGATTCTGAAGAGAAGTTGCAGAGATTGGTGGATGAATTTGGTAGGGTGTGCACAAAAGAAGAAAATTAAAGGTGAATACAGGAAAGAGTAAGGTTATGAGATAACAAAAAGATTAGGTGATGAAAGATTGAATATCAGATTGGAGGGAGAGAGTATGGAGGAGGTGAACGTATTCAGATATTTGGGAGTGGAGTGTCAGCGGATGGGTCTATGAAAGATGAGGTGAATCATAGAATTGATGAGGGAAAAAGAGTGAGTGGTGCACTTAGGAGTCTGTGGAGACAAAGAACTTTGTCCTTGGAGGCAAAGAGGGGAATGTATGAGAGTATAGTTTTACCACGCTCTTATATGGGTGTGAAGCGTGGGTGATGAATGTTGCAGCGAGGAGAAGGCTGGAGGCAGTGGAGATGTCATGTCTGAGGGCAATGTGTGGTGGAATATAATGCAGAGAATTCGTAGTTTGGAAGTTAGGAGGAGGTGCGGGATTACCAAAACTGTTGTCCAGAGGGCTGAGGAAGGGTTGTTGAGGTGGTTCGGACATGTAGAGAGAATGGAGCGAAACAGAATGACTTCAAGAGTGTATCAGTCTGTAGTGGAAGGAAGGCGGGGTAGGGGTCGGCCAAGGAAGGGTTGGAGGGAGGGGGTAAAGGAGGTTTTGTGTGCGAGGGGCTTGGACTTCCAGCAGGCATGCTTGAGCGTGTTTGATAGGAGTGAATGGAGACAAATGGTTTTTAATACTTGACGTGCTGTTGGAGTGTGAGCAAAGTAACATTTATGAAGGGATTCAGGGAAACCGGCAGGCCGGACTTGAGTCCTGGAGATGGGAAGTACAGTGCCTGCACTCTGAAGGAGGGGTGTTAATGTTGCAGTTTAAAAACTGTAGTGTAAAGCACCCTTCTGGCAAGACAGTGATGGAGTGAATGATGGTGAAAGTTTTTCTTTTTCGGGCCACCCTGCCTTGGTGGGAATCGGCCGGTGTGATAAAAAAAAAAAAAAAAAAAATCTTGTATCTGGCAGCAATCATGACCCCCAGTAGGCATACCAGTGTTGCTGAAAGTGACAAGAAACTGTAGAACCGTTTAAGTCTTAGAATTAATGAAGCATCACTCTGTGCACATAAAAAGAAAGGTAAATATGAGTGTGATGACTGACTGACTGACTGACTGACTGACTGACTGACTGACTGACTGACTGACTGACTGACTTGACTGACTTGACTGACTTGACTGACTTGACTGACTGACTTACAGTTAGACTTTTTCACTGAAGAGGACCCTGAAACGGTATCTAGAGCAGCTGATGCCGTACTATCAGTTGTATAATGTACTGCGGGATAAAACAGAACAGAAATCCATTACAGAATTTATGCACACTCCAGTACAGCCATGAACTTCAGTTATGCTGTGGCCCAGTAGGGCCTCCAGGACTTGAGAGTCCTGGAGATGGGAAGTAGAGTGCCTGTGCTCAGAAGGAGAGGTGGAGATATGTTGCAGTTTTTGAACTGCAGTGTAAGCATGCCTGTCAAGACAGTGCTAGAATGAGCAATGATGAAACTGTTTCTTCTTTTTCAGGTCACCCTACCTTGGTGGGAAATGGCCGAAGTGTTACTTAACCCTATGACTGTCGCGGCCGTATATATACGTTTTACGAGGTGCCGTGTTTGACGTATATATACTCATAAATTCTAGCGGCTTCAAATCAAGCAGGAGAAAGCTGGTAGGCCCACGTGTGAGAGAATGGGTCTGTGTGGTCAGTGTGCACCATATAAAAAAAATCCTGGAGCACGCAGTGCATAATGAGAAAAAAAAAACTCCGACCGTTTTTTTTAATTAAAATGCCGACTTTGTGGTCTATTTTCGTATAGTATTTATGGTTGTATTCTCGTTTTCTTGGTCTCATTTGATAGAGTGGAAAACATATTACAGAAATAGAGATGTTTTTGATTGATTTTACTATAAAAAAGAACCTAGAAATGGAGCTCAAAGTAGGGGAAATGTTTGATTTTGGCAATGTTCAAAAGTAAACAAATGATGCCATTGTCCAATAAATGTCCAACTAGCCATTCTAATATGCAGACATGAATGGGTTGATGTTATTTATACAGTTATTACAGCATTGCAGTAGTCTGCATAATAGTAAGTCTAATATTTTTTGTTTGAATAAAAATTCAAAATAGAAAGCAAGAGTAATATCAGAGGGGCCTGGAGACGTGACTGATGAACAAAGAAAACGTTATTTTAGAGCCTGGAATGTCTGCATTGTTCATTCTGGACCTTATTTTGAAATTGTCATATTTTTTAGTTTTCGTAAAATTGGCCAAATTGCAAATTTCTGACCACATTATTAGGTAGTTGAAATCAGTAAATGAGCAGTTTCTTGTACTCAATCGATAGAAAAAATCAAGTTCTAAAGAAATAGCTATGAGTTTGGGCGACTAGAACAATGGAATTAGCCGAAAATAGGGCTCAAAGTGGGCGAAATCGCCGATTTGTAAACAGCGCCGAGGTCGCTAACTTCGCAAGAGCATAATTCCGTCAGTTTTCCATCAAATTTCTTTTTTTTGGTGTCATTACAATCGGGAAAAGATTCTCTATCATTTCATAAGAAAAAATAATTTTTTTTTTTTTTTTAAATTTTGCGACACCAGGAGACACCTCAGGATTGGGGGTTGCGACAGTCAAAGGGTTAAGGAAATAAAACCATTATATGTGAGCAAAATAAAAAATGTTCAAGTCTTGCTACAAAATAGTTACTAGAAGTAAATAATGTGAGTTACAAAGAACAAGAACTAAGGCAGAAAAGAGACTTAATTAAAATCACATACAAGATTATAAAAGAATATAATATGATACTTGGGAGTTGACGTGTCGGCGGATGGATTTATGAAGGATGAGGTTAATCATAGGATTGATGAGGGAAAAAAAGGTGAGTGGTGCGTTGAGGTATATGTGGAGACAAAGAACGTTATCTATGGAGGCAAAGAAGGGAATGTATGAAAGTATATTAGTACCAACATTCTTATATGGGTGTGAAGCTTGGGTTGTGAATGCAGCAGCAAGGAGGCAGTCGGAGGCAGTGGAGATGTCCTGTCTAAGGACAATGTGTGGTGTAAATATTATGCAGAAAATTCGGAGTGTGGAAATTAGGAGAAGGTGTGGAGTTAATAAAAGTATTAGTCAGAGGGCAGAAGAGGGGTTGTTGAGGTGGTTTGGTCATTTAGAAAGAATAGATCAAAGTAGAATGACATGGAGAGCATTTAAATCTGTAGGGGAAGGAAGGTGGGGTAGGGGTCGTCCTCTAAAAGGTTAGAAGGAAGGGGTAAAGGAGGTTTTGTGGGCGAGGGGCTTGGACTTCCAGCAGGCATGCACGAGCGTGTTCGATAGGAGTCAATGGAGACGAATGGTATTTGGGACATGACGATCTGTTGGAGTGTGAGCAGGGTAATATTTAGTGAAGGGATTCAGGGAAACCGGTTATTTTCATATAGTCGGACTTGAGTCCTGGAAATGGGAAGTACAGTGCCTGCACTTTAAAGGAGGGGTTTGGGATATTGGCAGTTTGGAGGGATATGTTGTGTATCTTTATATGTATGTGCTTCTAAACTGTTGTATTCTGAGCACCTCTGCAAAAACAGTGATAATGTGTGAGTGTGGTGAAAGTGTTGAATGATGATGAAAGTATTTTTTGGGGGGGGGGGATTTTCTTTCTTTTTTGGGTCACCCTGCCTCGGTGGGAGACGGCGACTTGTTGAAAAAAAAAAAAAAAATTCAGGGAAACCGATTATTTTTATATAGCCGGACTTGAGTCCTGGAAATGGGAAGTACAATGTCTGCACTCTAAAGGAGGGGTTCGGGATATTAGCAGTTTGGAGGGATATGTTGTGTATCTTTATATGTATATGTTTCTAAACTATTAGGTAGTAGGTTGGTAGACAGCAACCACCCAGGGAGGTATTACCGTCCTGCCAAGTGAGTGTAAAACGTAAGCCTGTAATTGTTTTACACGATGGTAGGATTGCTGGTGTTTTTTCTGTCTCATAAACATGCAAGGTTTCAGGTACGTCTTGCTACTTCTGCTTACACTTAGGTCACACTACACATGCATGTACAAGCATATGTATACACACCCCTCTGGGTTTTCTTCTATTTTCTTACTAGCTCTTGTTCTTGTCTATTTCCTCTTATCTCCATGGGGAAGTGGAACAGAATTCTTCCTCCGTAAGCTATGCGTGTTGTAAGAGGCGACTAAAATGCCAGGAGCAAGGGGCTAGTAACCCCTTCTCCTGTATATATTACTAAATGTGAAAGGAGAAACTTTTGTTTTTCCTTTTGGGCCACCCCGCCTCGGTGGGATACGGCTGGTGTGTTGAAAGAAAGAAAGTTTCTAAACTGGGGAAGTGGAACAGAATTCTTCCTCCGTAAGCCATGCCTGTTGTAAGAGGCGACTAAAATGCCGGGAGCAAGGGGCTAGTAACCCCTTCTCCCGTATAAATTACTAAATTTAAAAGAGCCTTTTGTTTTTCTTTTTGGGCCATCCTGCCTTGGTGGGATACGGCCGGTGTGTTGAAAGAAAGAAAAAGTTTCTAAACTGTTGTGTTCTGAGCACCTCTGCAAAAACAGTGATTTTGTGTGAGTGAGGTGAAAATGTTGAATGATGATGACAGTATTTTCTTTTTGGGGATTTTCTTTCCTTTTGGGTCACCCTGCCTTGGTGGGAGATGGCCGACTTGTTAAAAAAAAAAAAAATAAATATGAATGGACTTACACAGATTTCCTAGCACCATCAGTAGTGAGAACAGGAAGCCATTACTACAGTAAGAAAGATGAGGTAGTGATGGGATACTAAAAAGTTCTTCGCACAAAGAGTTATACTGTAGTACAATGGAATAGGTGACAAGAAATGATAACTAGAATTACAACTACTGAAAACTATAAAAAATAATATGAAAAAGTAAATACCTTGAGTTACAATGGTCTGGAGTTACGATAATCTTGACTTATGATTTATCTTCATAAAGGAATTTAATTTTGAGTTGTGATGAAAAATTTGAGATACGATACGCAAACAATAGTCGGCATACAAGGGTGGGCCTCACCCCAGAGACAAGACAGAGTGAGTGGGAGGGATGGAGGGTGGCAGATGGGAGTGAGAGATGGTGTAAAGGTGGAAGGCAGGCAGAGGAGGGAGGGAGAGAGACTAAGTTTACCAGACATGGACGGAGGGTGACTGTAAGACTGTAAATTTACCAGACATGGATGTAGAGAGACTGGGGGAAAAAAAAAAAGTAACTAACCTGCCCTGCATTGCTTCCCTCCCTGAATGTCTTGCCCTGCCTTGCCTGGCTTACCCTGCAATCCCTGCTTTCTTCCTTGTCTGCTTGCCTTGCCCTGAATGACCCTGCCTGCTCTGCCTGCCTTGCCCTGCCCAGCCCTGGCCTGCTCTGCCTGCTATGGCCTGTCCAGCTCTGCCTGCTTCAGCCTGCCTTGCCTGCTCCAGTCTACAATGCCTGCCTGCCCTGGCTTGCCCTGCCATGCCTATCTTGAACTAAAAGGCACAATACCTTGATTGGAACATTACACAAATAGCCTGCACGTAGGAGACAGGCACTTACAACGATGTTTTGGCCTGACTTGGACCGAAACAAAGTGTGACTTTGTAAATGGTCCAAGTTGGACTGAAACCATCATCATAAGCTCCTCTCTCCTATGAGTGAGTTATCTGTGTATCATGCCTACCTTGCCCTGCACTGCCTGCCCAACCCAAGCATGTTCTGCCTACCAAGGCCTGCCCTGCCCTGCCTTGCTTACCTGCCCAAACCTGCCTGCTCTGGCCTATCCTGTCCTTCCTGCTCTGGCCTGCCCAGCACTGCCTGCTCCAGCCTGCAATGTCTGCCTGCTCTGGCTTGCTCTGTTGTGGTCTGCCTGCCATGCCTTGCCCTGGCATACCTAACCTTTCCAACACCACAACTCTTCAAGTATAAGGGACAATAAAAATTCCACTTCTGGGGTCTTGGAACAAATTAAAATAAAACCATGTACAGTGGACCCCCGCATAACGATTACCTTCGAATGCGACCAATTATGTAAGTGTATTTATGTAAGTGCGTTTGTACGTGTATGTTTGGGGGTCTGAAATGGACTAATCTACTTCACAATATTTTTTATGGGAACAAATTTGGTCAGTACTGGCACCTGAACATACTTCTGGAGTGAAAAAATATCATTAACGGGGGTCCACTGTATTTTGGAGTTTGAGTTATGAGGTGCAATACATCTGAAATAGATTAATATTATTCTGTTTAGGTTGCTACAAACAGGCACTGTAAATGCTTTCTTCTTACTCAACCTGGAATACTACTTTAACCAACTAACCCTAAATTCCTCTGCAGCTTCGTAAGACTTAATGGTCCTGTTGAGGTAGGCTTCGACTTTTGCATACGAAACCTGCCTTGTGACATTTTCATAAATATCTTCTGAGTTAAGGTTCGAATAGATGGCACCATTTGCTGCTACTTCACTATTGCTCTGGAAATAGATTTAAAAATGAAGTTTAATACTCAAACCATGATTTAAAAGAAACTGTTACAATACTAATCATTTATACATCATCAAGGTGACATCATTCCTTTTAATTACGAAGATAAGGTATGTACAAATAACCCGCAGATAGAAGAATGAAACTTATGACAATGTTGTGGTCTGACTTGGACCATAACAATGACAATGGTAGTACTATTCCAATCACTTGTGCTCTCATGTCTAGAGTACTGTTCTGTGTTCACAGCTCCTTTCAAGGCAGGAAAGATATCAGAGCTGAAAAATGTAAGAAGCTTGGTTGCTGCCTACAGAAAATCGATAAAGGATTTAAACTACTGAAAATGTTTTTAAGGTACTTGGAATGTATTCTCTGGAGTGAAGATACCAGATAGTACATATATGAAAAATATTTGCGGGTCAAGTCCCAAATCCATGTGGTACTGTAGCTTACTGGAGTAAGAGACATGGGAGACAAGTGCAAAATAAACAGTGTTAACCCTTAAATGGTCCAAACGTATATATAAGTTTTTTCAACATCTGAAAGTATGTAAAAAAATTAAACTTTTTTTTTTCATTTTACATTTGAAAAAGTGTAAAAAAACTTTTATCTACATTTTTTTTGTTATATTTGAAAATAGTAGTAGTGGGTAGGGGATGTGTAGATCAAGTGTTTACATTGAAGCATATATGTGAACAGTATTTAGATAAAGGTAGGGAAGTTTTTATTGCATTTATGGATTTAGAAAAGGCATATGATAGAGTGGATAGAGGAGCAATGTGGCAGATGTTGCAAGTATATGGAATAGGTGGTAAGTTATTAAATGCTGTAAAGAGTTTTTATGAGGATAGTGAGGCTCAGGTTAGGGTGTGTAGAAGAGAGGGAGAATACTTCCCGGTAAAAGTAGGTCTTAGACAGGGATGTGTAATGTCACCATGGTTGTTTAATATATTTATAGATGGGGTTGTAAAAGAAGTAAATGCTAGGGTGTTCGGAAGAGGGGTGGGGTTAAATTATGGGGAATCAAATTCAAAATGGGAATTGACACAGTTACTTTTTGCTGATGATACTGTGCTTATGGGAGATTCTAAAGAAAAATTGCAAAGGTTAGTGGATGAGTTTGAGAATGTGTGTAAAGGTAGAAAGTTGAAAGTGAACATAGAAAAGATTAAGGTGATGAGGGTATCAAATGATTTAGATAAAGAAAAATTGGATATCAAATTGGGGAGGAGGAGTATGGAAGAAGTGAATGTTTTCAGATACTTGGGAGTTGACGTGTCGGCGGATGGATTTATGAAGGATGAGGTTAATCATAGAATTGATGAGAGAAAAAAGGTGAGTGGTGCGTTGAGGTATATGTGGAGTCAAAAAACGTTATCTATGGAGGCAAAGAAGGGAATGTATGAAAGTATAGTAGTACCAACACTCTTATATGGATGTGAAGCTTGGGTGGTAAATGCAGCAGCGAGGAGACGGTTGGAGGCAGTGATGTCCTGTCTAAGGGCAATGGGTGGTGTAAATATTATGCAGAAAATTCGGAGTGTGGAAATTAGGAGAAGGTGTGCAGTTAATAAAAGCATTAGTCAGAGGGCAGAAGAGGGGTTGTTGAGGTGGTTTGGTCATTTAGAGAGAATGGATCAAAGTAGAATGACATGGAAAGCATATAAATATATAGGGGAAGGAAAGAGGGGTAGGGGTCGTCCTCGAAAGGGTTGGAAAGAGGGGGTAAAGGAGGTTTTGTGGGCGAGGGGCTTGGACTTCCAGCAAGCGTGCATGAGCGTGTTAGATAGGAGTGAATGGAGACGAATGATACTTGGGACCTGACGATCTGTTGGAGTGTGAGCAGGGTAATATTTAGTGAAGGGATTCAGGGAAACCGGTTATTTTCATGCAGTCGGACTTGAGTCCTGGAAATGGGAAGTACAATGCCTGCACTTTAAAGGAGGGGTTTGGGATATTGGCAGTTTGGAGGGATATGTTGTGTATCTTTATACGTATATACTTCTAAACTGTTGTATTCTGAGCACCTCTGCAAAAGCAGTGATAATGTGTGAGTGTGGTGAAAGTGTTGAATGATGATGAAAGTATTTTCTTTGCGGGGATTTTCTTTCTTTTTTTGGGTCACCCTGCCTCGGTGGGAGACGACCGACTTGTTGGAAAAAAAAAAAAAAAAAAAAAAAAATTGAAAATATGTAAAAAAAGTAGATCTACTTTTGTAGCACTGCGAATTTGAACGTCGATCTGTTTGGACCGTTTAAGGGTTAAGCAAGGTCATCATAGACATAAAAGATTAATGTGTTAACATTTGTTGATTAAGACATCAACCTGCCATTAGCATGTATCAGAAATATTACCAAAACAGAGGTAAAAGTTTTCAAGAGGAAACTGGATCATTACTTTTACCAAGTGCCAGGTCAGTGAGGCTGTGATAGCTACTTGGCCCAGTGGGCTGTTAATAGCAACATCCTGGTTAAATGAGCAATCAACAAAAGAAGCCTGGCATCAGGACAGACTGCAAGGGTAGAAGAACCCTAAAAACTGGTCGCTGGTATATCATCAAGCATTGATGGGCCTTGTCCTAAGCTTTGCCAGTTGTTCAGCTGAGGATAACCCCTCTTGCTCAGGTTGAGTTTCAGGCTACTATTCTGCTTGGATCCCTTCTTTGGCAGGCAGGATAAGCCATGGTGCTGCTCCTCTCAAGATGCTACAACATGGATTCTGTGCCTCAGGTTTCACTCCTGGTCAGCAGTTTTGACTTAATTTGTAGGTGTTACTTACTGTGGGGCTGTATAGCCCTTGTGGCTTAGCACTTCTTTTTGATTATAATAATAATAATAATAATAATAATAATACTTACTGTGGGAGGCCTCCATTACTTTCCAGCCTCTTTCACCTTTGCAGTCATAGTCTTTTCCTCCCACTACCCCACTGCCCTTCTCACACTATACCATTCACTTATATATCCATACCTTACCTATGCTATCTGTGCTTGGGGTTCAACTGCAGCAACACACCTAAAGCCAATAATAACCCAACAAAAAGCCGCAGTAAGAATAATCACTAAATCCCATCCCTGGCAACACACCCCCCCACTCTTCATAGATCTAAACTTACTCCCTGTTCAGTACATCCACACTTACTACTGTGCAATCTACATCTACAGGACCTTAAATTCCAATATTAACCTTGACCTAAAATGCTTTCTTGATAGTTGTGACAGAACCCACAGGCACAACACCAGACACAAACATCTCTATGACATTCCCCGTGTCCGACTAAACCTTTACAAAAATTCAATGTATGTCAAAGGCCCTAAAATCTGGAACACCCTACCTGAAAATTCTAAAACTGCAGACACATTCATCACCTTCAAAACTACCATCAGAAAACATCTTATCTCCCTGATACACCCTGTCAACTAATAATACGAATACCACCTGGTGGTTCGCACTTGCACTCACTCACCCATTTGACCATAAACAGAAATATCAATCTCAATCTCAAAATAATGAATCTTAACTAGTCAAAAGTTGGCCTGTGATACTCCAATACTGAAACTATGTATAGTGCCAAAACAAAAGCATTCACATTGCTAAACTCACAACTAGTATTTAGTCACTTAGCCATAATACCAACTTATCTCATAATTCTGTATCATTTTAAACTTAAGATTTAACATAAGTCTGCCCGAAATGCCTAGCCATGCTAGGCATTCTAGTGGTACACTCTGTAATTATTATTTTACTACATGTAAACCACACAATAACCAAATTCTGTAAACTCAGCATTGTAATACTTATAGAGAATAAAGTTTGAATTTGAATTGAATTTGAATTTGAACTATGACACTCCTGCCTTACCAGTCTTAACTCGGCTGTTACAGAAGGAAACTCAACTTAGGATATGACTATTCTTGTTGAAATAATGCATCACTTACTGTATTTTGTCATGTTTTCAATGCTTGGAGTCCATGGAAGCCATTTGTTATATGATGGTGAATGATGTGCCAGGACAAATTGTCCTTAACAACTGTAAACCCACTCTGCAGAATCTGTCTACATGACAGAGAATGGTACACCAACTAAGATGGGAAACTAGACCCTGACCTGTATACCTGCATAATACTTTTAACCTGAAGCAAGGATCCTAGGAATGGGATCCAATTAGCAAGAGAAAGAGGAGCCTGGAGATTAAAGTTAAAATATTTATCATAAATTATGTCCTTCTGATATTCTTTCTGGAGTCATTCAGAAGACCTACATTCAAAAGTAACAGCTGTGTCTATATGCAACAGGTGTGGCTTACTCCAATCTGGTATCCAGGGTGCCATATATTTAATTAAAATGAAATTATATTACTTATACAGTAGACTGTTGTTTAACATGGTTTTGTTTGGCATGTTTTGGTTATAGCACTATTGAAGAACTGTGGCATATTTTTGTATAACACTTCGTAAAATTAGCTAAACACGGTTCAGTTTGTGGGAGGGGAAAAAATTTGGAGCGTTGTTTATTTTTGTTTGTGGATTGAGTTTAGATCTTTTAATTGCCATATCTTAAATCTGCCAAGCATTCATGGCACCCAGTAGGCATACAAGTGTTGCTCAAAGTGGCAAGAAAAGGTTTAAGCGTTTAAATCTTAGAATTAACGAATAAAATAGAGATATTAGACAAACGATAGCCTGTGGCCGTAATGAAGCATAACTTTGTGCACATAAAAAGAATGAGGTAAATATGAGTTTGTGTAATGACTGACTGACTGACTGACTTGACTTACTGACTTGACTAACTGACTGACTTACTGTCTAACTTACTGACTGACTCGACTGATTTACTGACTTAAAGTTAGACTTTTTCATTAAGAGGAACCTGAAACGGTGTCTAGAGCAGCTGATGTCTTACCGTCAGTTGTATAATGTACTGCAAGGTAAAATAGAATAGAAATCCATTATAGAATTTCTGCACACTTCAGTACAACCATTGACTTCAGTACCAGAACCTCTACCATCCACCTCAGCCCAGTAGGGCCACAGCATAACTCTCCACTCTCCACAATCATCCACAAACACCAGTACCCACAATTTAAAGTAAGAAATACTATTATTTCTGTTGCATTTGTAATCTTAAGCAGTAAAAACAACGTAATAAATCACAACAATGAACTACACTTACATATTCACTTTTATTTTTGTAAGATCTGTTGGCCTATAAAAAAGTTGTTTGGCTTTTTGAGGGCATCCAGGAACATAACCCTATTTTTCCCATAAGTTCTTCAGTTTGTCTAACACGGTTTTAACTACTACGGCATTTTCAGGAACGTAACTACCATGTTAAATCTACTGTATTAAAATTTTCCCTAGGTAGTAGGTTGGTAGAGAGCAACCACCCGGGGAGGTACTACTGTCCTAACAAGTGAGTGTGAAATGGTAACCTGTAATTATTTTACATGATGGTAGGGTTGCTGACATCTTGTTTTCTGTCTCATAAACACATGGGATAACAGGTATAGCTTGCTAATTCTACTTACACTTGGGTCACACTATACCTGCATGTACATGCAAATATAGTTACACACCTATTTGGGTTTTCTTCTATTTTCTTAATAGTTCTCGTTCTTCTTTATTTCCTCTTAATCTCTACGGGGAAGTGGAAAAGAATTCTTCCTCCATAAGCCATGTCGTATGAGGTGACTAAAATGCTGGGAGCAAGGGGCTAGTGATGCCTTCTCCTGTATAAATTACTAAATTTAAAAAGAAAGAAAGAAACAAAACACAAACCTGGACCTGTGGAAGCAGAGCATTACTGAAATCTTGAGATGGGGCTGGGACTTGCACGGTGTTTGCAAGAGGTGTGTAAATTTTGGCCTTGCTTGGAATTTTGCTAGTAGTAGCAGCAGCAGCAGCAGCTGTATCTTGAACTGAGCCATGGTTCTCATACACATTTTCGTTTTTGTCATGCAAAGCTTGATTGCTGTTTCCTGATAATTGAGATGATCATGAATTAACATATAATTATAGAATCAATACAGTTAATACAGAAGTTTATGTCAAATATCAATGCAAGTCATACTTTACAATACTGTTGGTACCTGAATCTAAGTTCTGTGATACAAATTAATCATAAAAATTAACCACCATAATCTTTCTTTCTTTCAATGCACCAGCTGTATCCCACTGACGTGGGGTGGCCCAAAAGGAAAAACGAAAGTTTTGCCTTTTAGATTCAGTGACATATACAGGAGAAGGGGTTACTAGCCCCTTGTTCCCGGCATTTTAGTCGCCTCTTACAACACGCATGGCTTATGGAGGAAGAATTCTGTTCCACTTCCCCACGGAGATAAGAGGAAATAAACAAGAACAAGAACCAAAAAGAAAATAGCAGAAAACCCAAAGGGGTGTGTATATATATGCTTGTACATGTATGTGTAGTGTGACCTAAGTGTAAGTAGAAATAGCAAGACGTACCTGTAATCTTGCATATTTATGAGACAGACAAGACACCAGCAATCCTACCATCATGTAAAACAATTACAGGCTTTCGTTTTGCACTCACTTGGCTGGGCGGTTGCTGTCTACCAACCTACTACCTATTAACCACCAAAATAGTGATTTTAATATGACCTAGTACAGATAAATTTTTTTTTTTAACAAGTCAGCCATCTCCCACCGAGGTGGGTGACTCAAAAAAGAAACAAAATCCCCAAAAAGAAAATACTTTCATCATCATTCAACTCTATCACCTCACTCACACATAATCATTGTTTTTGCAGTGGTGCCCAGAATACAACAGTTTAGAAGTATGTACGTATAAAGATACACAATATACCCCTCCAAATTGCCAATATCCCGAACCCCTCCTTTAGAGTGCAGGCATTGTACTTCCCATTTCCAGGAATCAAGTCCGGCTATATAAAAATAACCGGTTTCCCTGAATCCCTTCAGTAAATATTACTCTGCTCACACTCCAACAGATTGTCATGTCCCAAATACCATTCGTCTCCATTCACTCCTATCGAACACGCTCACGCACGCCTGCTGGAAGTCCAAGCCCCTCACCCACAAAACCTCCCTTACCCCTTCCTTCCAACCTTTTCGAGGACGCCCCCTACCCTGCCTTCCTTCCCCTACAGATTTAAATGCTCTCCATGTCATTCTACTTTGATCCATTCTCTCTAAATGACCAAACCACCTCAACAACCCCTCTTCAGCCCTCTGACTAATACTTTTATTAACTCCACACCTTCTCCTAATTTCCACACTCCGAATTTTCTGCATAATATTTACACCACACATTGTCCTTAGACAGGACATCTCCACTGCCTCCTCGCTGCTGCATTCACAACCCAAGCTTCACACCCATATAAGTGTTGGTACTAATATACTTCCTAGGTAGTAGGTTGGTAGACAGCAACTGCCCAGGGAGTTACTACAGTCCTACCAAGTGAGTGTAAAACGAAAACCTGTAATTGTTTTACATGATGGTAGGATTGCTGGTGTCCTTTTTTCTGTCTCATGAACATGCAAGATTTCAGGTACGTCTTGCTACTTCTACTTACACTTAGGTCACACTACACATACATGTACAAGCATATATATACATACCCCTCTGGGTTTTCTTCTATTTTCTTTCTAGTTCTTGTTTATTTCCTCTTACCTCCATGGGGAAGTGGAACAGAATTCTTCCTCCGTAAGCCATGCGTGTTGTAAGAGGCGACTAAAATGCCGGGAGCAAGGGGCTAGTAACACCTTCTCCTATATATATTACTAAATTTGAAAGGAGAAACTTTCATTTTTCGTTTTGGGCCACCCCGCCTTGGTGGGATACGGCCAGTTAGCTGAAAGAAAGAAGACTAATATACTTTCATACATTCCCTTCTTTGCCTCGATAGATAACGTTTTCTGTCTCCACATATACCTCAATGCACCACTCACCTTTTTTCCCTCATCAATTCTGTGATTAACCTCATCCTTCATAAATCCATCCGCCAACACGTCAACTCCCAAGTATTCAACTGAAGGTCAGAAGATCCTTCATAGTATAATTGTTGAGATTTTTTAAACTTTCTATCTAGGAAGAGTCTCTCTTCTCTTAGGTATACAGTACATTTTAACATTTACCTTCTTTCCTCCCAGAAGCTGGGGGTCACTTATGCAGTGGTAGGGAGAATCCATGGCTTGTGCTTGTGAGACTGCTGTATGTATTTGTGAAATATAGGTGCTAATTGATTTACAATGGTTTGACTTATGACATTTTGACTTTACAATGATGCAAAAGCAATTATTTTGGAGATGAAACTGAAGATAATTATCCAGCATGAAGGCGGCAAGTCCATATCTTGTATTCATTTATTAACTTTTCAATACTGGTAGTTAGTTACAGTAATTATTTGTTTATTTACTTACTCAGTGATGCTGAGGTCAGTCGTCACCTGCAGTCATACCTGTCCTAGGCTCTGGGAGCTAGCGTGGGGTGTTACCAAGCACCATGGCTTGTTGTAGTGTTTTAGAATCTCAGGTTAAAGTGTTGAAGGAGGAGGTTCTACTTCTTCAGGAGGAAAATAGGAGGCTGAAGCTTTGCCTAGAGGAGTTTGGGAGCGAGCGTGAGAAGGATTTAGCTGGTAAGGAGGAAATGGCCACTAGCAGTGACAGTGGCAGCCGCTTTAAGTGGCAAGTGGTTCACAGTTCAGGAAGAAGGAAGATAAGGAGGGTTAACAGAGAAGATGTGAAGGTAGGAAATCGATTCTCTGTTCTCCAGGACAAGTGCACTTCAATGGTTAGTGGGGTTGAAGGTACCACTGATTCTCCTGCAAATCAAGGTAAGAATATTTTAATAGTAGGAGATTCTCAGGTAAGATATATGGACCGTGCTTTTTGTAACAGAGACAGAAAGGTCAGACAGAGTGTGTGCCTTCCAGGAGCTGGTGTTGGTGACATAGTCAGCAGGTTGGATAATATGTCAGGTAATGGGAACAAGCCCATTATCTGTCTTGGTGCTGGGGGTAATGACATTGGGAAGGGCAGGAGACAGGAGCTGATGGATAAGTACAGGTCAGCCATAGTAGTAGTTAGGTCTAAGGGAGAGATCCTAGTCATATGCAACATCTTGCCTAGAAAGGGAGTGGGCAATGAATGGATGTCTAGAGCAATTGGTATAAATTGCTGGCTAGACAGGTACCGCAAGGAACTTGCAATCCCATTCATTGATAACTGGGACCCATTCTTTGGCAAACGTGATATGTATGCAAGGGATGGGGTTCATCTCTCTGGGGATGGAGTGGTTGCATTAGCCAATTCGATTGAGAGGGTAATTGATGACTTGTCTAGGAATTTCAACTGATAGATTATAGAGGTATGGGTGTTTGTGGGAAACAATCAGGTTGCAGTATTAGGGTTAAAAACAGCAGTTATTACTAGTAACCCCTTCTCCTGTATGCATTTACTAAAAAAGAGAAGAAGAAAAACTTTATAAAACTGGGTTGTTTAAATGTGCGTGGATGTAGTGCGGATGACAAGAAACAGATGATTGCTGATGTTATGAATGAAAAGAAGTTGGATGTCCTGGCTCTAAGCAAAACAAAGCTGAAGGGGGTAGGAGAGTTTCAGTGGGGGGAAATAAATGGGATTAAATCTGGAGTATCTGAGAGAGTTAGAGCAAAGGAAGGGGTAGCAGTAATGTTAAATGATCAGTTATGGAAGGAGAAAAGAGAATATGAATGTGTAAATTCGAGAATTATGTGGATTAAAGTAAAGGTTGGATGCGAGAAGTGGGTCATAATAAGCGTGTATGCACCTGAGAAGAGAGGAATGCAGAGGAGAGAGAGAGATTTTGGGAGATGTTAAGTGAATGTATAGGAGCCTTTGAACCAAGTGAGAGAGTAATTGTGGTAGGGGACCTGAATGCTAAAGTAGGAGAAACTTTTAGAGAGGGTGTGGTAGGTAAGTTTGGGGTGCCAGGTGTAAATGATAATGGGAGCCCTTTGATTGAACTTTGTATAGAAAGGGGTTTAGTTATAGGTAATACATATTTTAAGAAAAAGAGGATAAATAAGTATACACGATATGATGTAGGGCGAAATGACAGTAGTTTGTTGGATTATGTATTAGTAGATAAAAGACTGTTGAGTAGACTTCAGGATGTACATGTTTATCGAGGGGCCACAGATATATCAGATCACTTTCTAGTTGTAGCTACACTGAGAGTAAAAGGTAGATGGGATACAAGGAGAATAGAAGCATCAGGGAAGAGAGAGGTGAAGGTTTATAAACTAAAAGAGGAGGCAGTTAGGGTAAGATATAAACAGCTATTGGAGGATAGATGGGCTAATGAGAGCATAGGCAATGGGGTCGAAGAGGAATGGGGTAGGTTTAAAAATGTAGTGTTAGAGTGTTCAGCAGAAGTTTGTGGTTACAGGAAAGTGGGTGCAGGAGGGAAGAGGAGCGATTGGTGGAATGATGATGTAAAGAGAGTAGTAAGGGAGAAAAAGTTAGCATATGAGAAGTTTTTACAAAGTAGAAGTGATGCAAGGAGGGAAGAGTATATGGAGAAAAAGAGAGAGGTTAAGAGAGTGGTGAAGCAATGTAAAAAGAGAGCAAATGAGAGAGTGGGTGAGCTGTTATCAACAAATTTTGTTGAAAATAAGAAAAAGTTTTGGAGTGAGATTAACAAGTTAAGGAAGCCTAGAGAACAAATGGATTTGTCAGTTAAAAATAGGAGAGGAGAGTTATTAAATGGAGAGTTAGAGGTATTGGGAAGATGGAGGGAATATTTTGAGGAATTGTTAAATGTTGATGAAGATAGGGAAGCTGTGATTTCGTGTATAGGGCAAGGAGGAATAACATCTTGTAGGAGTGAGGAAGAGCCAGTTGTGAGTGTGGGGGAAGTTCGTGAGGCAGTAGGTAAAATGAAAGGGGGTAAGGCAGCCGGGATTGATGGGATAAAGATAGAAATGTTAAAAGCAGGTGGGGATATAGTTTTGGA